GAGCCACGCCGCTCTCATTGTTCCGCTGCTCCGTGTTCTGGCGTCCCGCTCACGCACATTACAGGTATTCTTAGTGACGTGCGTGAGCGGGACGACTTCTATCAATCGTTTCTTTTGCTGGTTCTCTTTAAATTTTCTCGTTATCGCCGGAAGAAGATTTCTCCGGGTGCAGAAGTCAGACAATAAAGGATTATTCACCTCCTATTATCCCTCCGTGCCGGGGGATGGGGACGCATTATACCTCCGTGCCGGGGGATGGGGATGCATTATCCCTCCGTGCCGGGAGATGGGGACGCATTATCCCTCCGTGCCGGGGGATGGGGACGCATTATCCCTGTAGCTGCCTGTCTTCAAAGACTTGTGTGGGAACGGGGAGCAGAGCGGGGGATTAATCATCCGACTCCGCACAGCACAAGTACACAGGCGTTCTACATAGACCAGAGCTCTACGGTCCATCCGGTCTTGTAATTGACACAGCTCTGCCACACAGCACCGCCCTGGGAGGAGACCTTTCTTTCTGCTGCAGTTCATTAACGCTTACAGGTCTTGCCCCTCCCCCAGACTGTGACCGGACAGTAAAAGGAGAAGCAGAAGGCTGAGGAGCTCATCTCTCTGTCACTCTGCTCTCACCTCCTATCAGCATGCTGTTTGCACTACAGCCCAACTGATTGGCTCCTTGTTTCTGATGCTCTCTCCCTTCTCTTTGAGCTTTGCTGTACAGTGAAGGCAAGAGGCTGATACCAAGCCAAATTCAGACACTTACCGTGCTTCCATTTAAAACAACACAGGGGAAGCAATGACTTGTCAGATAGTGGAGGAGGAAGCAGTGCTGGATCAGTGAGCTGTGTATAAGGTGAGAGCGACATGTCAACAATGAGGCTTATCCTGGACAAGCTCCCTTGTCATGTCAACAAGGAGGCTTATCCCGGACAAGCCCCCATGTCATGTCAACAAGGAGGCTTATCCCGGACAAGCTCCCATGTCATGTCAACAACGAGGGTTATCCCGGACAAGCTCCCATGTCATGTCAACAAGGAGGCTTATCCCGGACAAGCCCCCCTGTCATGTCAACAATGAGGCTTATCCCGGACAAGCCCCCCTGTCATGTCAACAATGAGGCTTATCCCAGACTAGCTTCTTTGTTATGTCAATAAGGATTCTTACCCCGGACAAGCCCCCAAGTCATGTATGTCAACAATGAGGCTTATCCTGGACAAGCCCCTTTATCATGTCAACAATGAGGCTTATCCCAGACTAGCTTCTTTGTTATGTCAATAACGAGACTTATCCCGGACAAGCCCCCAAGTCATGTATGTCAACAATGAGGCTTATCCTGGACAAGCCCCTTTATCATGTCAACAATGAGGCTTATCCCAGGCAAGCCCCCTTGTCATGTCAACAAGGAAGCTTATCCCGGACAAGCCCCCTTGTCATGCCAACAAGGAAGCTTATCCCAGACAAGCCCCCCTGTCATGTCAACAAGGAGGCTTATCACGGACCAGCTCCCATGTCATGTCAACAAGGAGGCTTATCCCGGACAAGCCCCTTTATCATGTCAACAATGAGGCTTATCCCAGACAAGCCCCCCTGTCATGTCAACAATGAGGCTTATCCCAGGCTAGCTTCTTTGTTATGTCAATAACGAGACTTATCCCGGACAAGCCCCCAAGTCATGTATGTCAACAACGAGGCTTATCCTGGACAAGCCCCTTTATCATGTCAACAATGAGGCTTATCCCGGACAAGCCCCCTTGTCATGTCAACAAGGAGGCTTATCCCGGACAAGCCCCCAAGTCATGTCAACAAGGAGGCTTATTCTGGACAAGCTCCCCTGTCATGTCAACAAGGAGGCTTATACTGGACGAGCCCCCTGTCATGTAAACATGGGGGCTTGTGCGGGACCAGACTTCCGGAGTTCAGGTAAATTAATCTGAAAAGTGGTCACCTGGCCGGGACACCTCCAGCAAAAGGAACATTGCTCTAAACAAAGCTGCTGTGATTTTTTAGCTGGTTGTGACTTTAAAGCTAGTTATGAATTGATGAGCGCGTTTTCCATTCGTTACAAAGTGTCTACTGCTTGGATCCTGCCAGTAACAGTATTTCCTTTTTGCAGGCTGACAACGCTAAGCCCCTGGCTTAAAATAAGCGGCAGTGTTGTCAGCTTGCCCCGTGCACTCATTGAGTTGCCCATTTGGGCTTTCCAATCATGCAATCATAGTGATTGGCTGTCACATGGATCACGTGATCGGAAGCCAATCCTCTCAGCTCCTGATCATTACCTTTTGTACGGGAAAAATGGCATGCACGAGCAAACGGAAGTTGCACCGGAAGACGCACAAATGGCTGGCGCATCACTTCCTGTGCGCTCAATCGCATGCCCCTGAGAGGAAACAGTGACACATATACACTATATTACCAAACTATGAAGCTCTCTACGCACTGTTGTTGCGCCAATCTGAAGGCCACACCAAGTTTGGAGGTCTGTAGCTATTGACTCTGCAGACTGTTGGCGACTTCTGCGCACTGTGCGCTTCAGCATGCGCTGAACCCACTCTGTCATGTGACGTGGCCTACCACTTCTTGCGCTGAGTTGCTGTTGTTCCCAGTTGCTTCCACTTTGTTATAATCCCAGTAACAGGTGACCGCGGAATATTTAGTAGCCAGGAAATGTCACGGATGGACTTATTGCACGGGTGACAACCTATCACGGTACCACGCTTGTAGTCATGGAGCTCCTGAGAGCGACCCATTCTTTCACAAATGTTTGTAGAAGCGTCTGCATGCCGAGGTGCTAGGTGTGGCCCTGGAGGTGATTGGAACACCTGAATCCAATGATTTGGAAGGGAATCCCAAAACTTTTGGCAATGTAGTGTATGTGGCAGCACAGAATAAAGCCCACCTCCGTGCTGCGCATATATGAGTCCAACTGGAAACAGTTTTAATGTTGTTCTTACAAATTTTCAAATGAAAACAAACCCCAAACAAATCTTGCGGCCATTTTAAAAGGCATTTGAATTACTGTGCGGTTGTGTTTTTATTTAATAATTATGTTTATTATGTTTCCTGTTTTGGGGGGGTAGTGTGCCATGAGCTTGCCCATGACTTCCTGGTGTGTCTGATAATGTCAAAAAGGAAGAGTGGTTTCACTTGACTTCCTCTTCTGTCTGGCAATTGTCAAGTAGACCAGAAAGGAGGAGAAATAACCAAGATAAAAATATGGACAGTAATAAAAAGTGGAGGTTCTAGCCCATCCCTATTATTTGTAGCAGAGAATGCATCAGGAGAAGTGGGACACCACATAAAGATTAACCTCTGGGAGATAACGCTGCTGGACATTTTATGAGCAAGTCAGTGGACATCATCCATCATGATCCATTTAATCATCATTACCCCCGAAAACCCCAGATAGTTACTCACCCGTATCTCGGTGTATATGCTGCACTTGACCAGCTTGAAGTTCTTCATCAGGTTGGAGCTGTTGCTATGGAAACACACCTTAAGGATACGCATCTCCTCTTTACTGATCTCTCCATCGAACGGTAGCTCTGTGGGCCCATCGGACCTCATGACAGTACCTCCCCGTAAACGGCTTATTGGGTCCAGAGACATCCTGGCACCGTAAATTCAGAGGGTGACTAAGATGAAGACATCACATATCTGCGGATTACAAGAACATCTTGTTGTTATCATGGAGCGGTCTAGTGAACAATATAGACATGGGACAATGAAGCTAAAGTTATATTAATATTCTATCGTTAATACAGGTAAGAGGCGTGCAGCCCAACTGATACCTTGCAGAGCCCACCATAGAGAGTCTATGGTGGGCTCTGCAAGTGGCATAACTAGCAATCACGGGGGCCCATACAAAATTTTGCTATGGGGCCCTGTGATTTCTAGTTACGCCCCTGGTTAAGAGCAACCTTGTAAACCAAAATCAAACTGCAAAACCAAAGTAATGAGAAGAGCAGACCACAGAGCCCGGGATGTTATAGATTCCGAAAACTGTCTTACAGCCTACCGTGTTTCCCCAAAAATAAGACACTGTCTTATATTGTTTTTGCCCCCAAAAAACACACTAGGTCTTATTTTCAGGGGATGTCTTATTTTTATTTTATTTTTTTACAGTGCAACAAAATGTACAACAATTTAAAGTTATTCATGTACAACAATCCAAAAGTTATGTGGTATCACTTCACCTGTCACAGTAACCGGCGCTATAGAGGAATATCGGCTAATGCGGCTCTGCTCCCTCCGCCGCCGCAGCCTTGCTTTCTGCAGCGCCGGCATACTTTGCCATCAGGGACAGCGGTACCAGCGGTGCAGCAGTGAGGGACATCAGGCAGTGGATAGCGCAGTAAAGTATGGTACCATTTACCGGTACACAGTACAGTACCATTACATTAAGCAGTGCCTTCAGGGGGACAGCAGTTGGTGAAGTATGGTACTGGAGTGCTCACTGTCACTGCGCTGGCCGGAGGGAGTCTCCCGTCATCCCCTAATACAGTATGTCCCTGCAGGCTGACACCATCTCTCCTGCTCTTCACGTTCCCCCTCACATGCTACCACCAAACTAGGTCTTATTTTCGGGGTAGGTCTTATGTTACAGGAATCTTGAAAAATAGTGCTAGGTCTTACTTTCGGGGTAGGTCTTATTTTCGGGGAAACAGGGTAGACAACTCTCATCTCCTGCAATACTGGAGCAACCCCTAACCAATGTTCCACCAGGCATCTCCTGATTGATGGTCTACTTCTCCAGACTGATCTTCTACCTAGACATCTCTCATCTCCTGCAATACTGGAGCAACCCCTAACCAATGTTCCACCAGGCATCTCCTGATTGATGGTCTACTTCTCCAGACTGATCTTCTACCTAGACATCTCTCATCTCCTGCAATACTGGAGCAACCCCTAACCAATGTTCCACCAGGCATCTCCTGATTGATGGTCTACTTCTCCAGACTGATCTTCTATCTAGACATCTCTTACTAACCCTTGCTGAAATTGTACTTGGACATCTGCCATCTAACCTCTACCTGAACATTCCTCATCGATGTTCAACCTGGCATCACTTTATTGGTGGTCTTCTCCAAACTGATCTTCTACCTAAACACGTTCTTATTGATATTTGTTTTTTTAGCATATCAATTTTTATCATTTTCACAAAATAAACAGTCATGAAACAGTGTCACAAGTATTCCAAATGTTTGCTCACAAGATGTAGAGATGACATAACCTCGAGTTATATGACATTGTTACAAAATTGGTATCAAGTGAATGGTAGAAAGAACATTACCGTGCGTTGAACAGTCTATAGAACTCAAAGAGGAACAAAATCATGGAGTAACATCCAACCTGGTGTGGTCCATTATTTAAGGTGGGCATGGGTCATGGAGGGGTTAAGGGTTGTAGTCAGCAGTGGGTGGTTGGGTCATAGGACGACTGTGCCTTACCCTGTCAAGTAGATCACAGCATATTTGGAGGAGTGTTGTGTTGTGACGGGAGGAACCGCTGGATGAGTGGAGGGAATTGGGTAATCTCAGTACTTTCGGGAGATTTAGGGGGTGTCAAAGGGGTTGAGGGCATATCAAAGGACATCTAAAGCACAGAGGCTGCCTTCAAGTTTGGCTTTGAGGAACCATAATGAATAACAATCCCTGCAGGGAACCTTATTGATATTGTACCTGGATATCTCCCATCTCACCTCTTCTTCGGCACCCCTAATCAATGTTCAACTAGGCATCTGTTTATTGGCGCTCCACTTCTCCGAACTGATCTTCTAACCTCTCCTTGCCGATATAGTACTTGAACATCTCCACCTACGGCTCTACTTGGACAACCCCTAATAATTGTTCTACCAGACAACTCCTCGTTGATTGTCTGCTTCTCCAGATTGTACCTGGATATCTCCCATCTAACCCCCACTTGGGCAACTGACTATTGATATTGTAGCTGGACATCTGCCGTCTAGCCTTTCAGCCCCTCTAACTGAGTGTTCTTGGGGACAGTGTTGTCAAATCACATCGTGGCATTGCCACAACCTTCTACACTAGACATATCCATAACTAGGGATGCACCCATACCGATACTAGTATCTGTGCCGATACCGAGTATTTGGGCGTGTACTCGTACTCGCACCAAATGCTCCAATGCTTAGCCCGATACTTCCCGTATCAGGTAAGCCGGGCAGCTTCCTGATACGTATCCCGAAGCCGTATCCCGAATCCCGAAAAACGAAATAACGCAAATTCGCAAAATAAAAAAGAAACTAAACAAATTTTTTGCTGGTGCACATGTCTATTGATCGGGCAGCCGGGTGGTGAGTCATTACACGCCACCTGGCTTCCTGAATGGGACTTCTGGTATCGGTATTCGGTATCGGCGAGCAAATATCGGTACTCGTACTCGGTACCAAAATACCGGTATCGGTGCATCCCTACTCCATAACGTCGGACCTCTTGTTGTACCAGTGATAAGAAACTAACAGAGGTTATAAATCTTCCTCGGCCATCCAACACGAAACACGAAAAGGTCTGAAGGTTAATTGTTCGCTCACCTCCCGATCTTCTGAGCCGACCTGTGACAGTCTCATTGTCACAGGTCGGCTAGAACTATGTGGTGAGTGAAAAGCACCCCCCCTCCCCCCCTCATAGTTCTCCTTTAAGTCATGAACACCCGAAAAGCTGATCAGCTATATTTGTCCAGACGATGTGCGGACTTCCTCTAGTTGCCTGTAGACGACGGATCTAATCTAGTATCGTCATCATGACCACATTCCAGGTCTCAGCTGCGTCTATATTCTATCTTCGCGCTCCCACCGAACAGACATTCAGAATGAAACTCATCTCCATCTGCTGCAGCCACAGGGACATCTTTATATTCTGAATGTTTTTACAGAAAATGTGATTATTAAAAGGAGAACTATGGGGTCAGTGTTTTTCCCCATAGTTCTCCTTAGGGTAACGGGAGGACACAAACTAGCGTCCTCCCGTCACCCTAGGCTCAGTATACCGCGAGCTACAGCTACGATATACTGAGACCGCCTCAGCCGGGACGATCCCGACATTACTGTCTGGATCCGCCCAGCTGCGTGAGTGGCAGCTGGCTCTGCCTATCTAGAGACAGAGCCAGCTGTACCCATCCCCCTCCCCCGTCCGTTCCGCCAGTCAGCGCTGGAGGATCGGAGCAGGGGGGGGAATCCCTGCAGGGCGCCGTGAGTGACAGTCACGGCTCTCTGCAGGGAGATGATTGAGAGGTGAGCGAGCGCCGGTATGTGTTCGCTCACTTCCCGATCTACTGAGCCGACCTGTGACAGTCTCATTGTCACACCTCGGCCGGAACTATGAGGAGGAGTGTAAATCCCTCACCTCGTAGTTCTCCTTTAATTAGGTATTTGTAGAATTTGTTTTTTATTCACTTGTCCAGCCGAGACAAATTCTACAAGTTGTTGCTGCGCAGAGTATAGAGACGCCGATCATCCGGGCACCGGACACTACAAAGACTCTGTGACGCCCACGCGGGAAATGGGTTCTGTGGTTGTCACCAGGACAGGAAGGAACGGACAGCAATGAGAAACTTCTTAGAAGTCCGAATCCTTCCCCGCTCTGCTAATGATGTGTTTTTGTCTTCTGTGTCCCCGTTGGAGAAATTCCCCCAAACTTCCTGTTCTGTCAGATTTCAACTGTGCGCCAAACTCACATCAAATCTGAACCCTCCCCCCCGGCCTCCCCTTCAGTCTTGTACAGTGATCTGCCTATAGAAACTGCAGACATTATGCAGGAGATGGTCAGAGATTGCAGACATGATACAGGAGATGGTCAGAGAGTGCAGACATGATACAGGAGATGGTCAGAGACTGCAGACATGATGCAGGAGATGGTCAGAGACTGCAGACATGATACAGGAGATGGTCAGAGACTGCAGACATGATACAGGAGGTGGTCAGAGACTGCAGACATGATACAGGAGATGGTCAGAGACTGCAGACATGATACAGGAGATGGTTAGAGACTGCAGACATGATACAGGAAATGATCAGAGATGGCAGACATGATACAGGAGATGGCCAGAGACTGCAGACATGGTACAGGAGATGGTCAGAGACTGCAGACATGATACAGGAGATGGTCAGAGATGGCAGACATGGTACAGGAGATGGTCAGAGACTGCAGACATGACACAGGAGATGTTCGGAGACTGTAGACATGATACAGGAGATGGTCAGAGATGGCAGACATGATACAGGAGATGGTCAGAGATGGCAGACATGATACAGGAGATGGTCAGAGACTGCAGACATGATACAGGAGATGGTCAGAGACTGTACACCTGATACTAGGCTCTTTAACAATGAATACATTATTATTTTTTTTAATGCAAGGATTGTAAGTACCTGAATTTGTCTCGGTATCAACCGTTTGCACTCCCTGGACAGCAGAGCTCAGACTGGGAGAGTCAGAAGCAGCACAAATACAGGAGGTGGTCAGAGACTGCAGACATGGTACAGGAGATGGTCAGAGACTGCAGACATGATACAGGAGATGGCCAGAGACTGCAGACATGGTACAGGAGATGGTCAGAGACTGCAGACATGATACAGGAGATGGCCAGAGACTGCAGACATGGTACAGGAGATGGTCAGAGACTGCAGACATGAT